GTTTGAATATCCTGAGGCCCACAGATGACTTTACCAGCCCCTTTAAGCAGATTCTCAGTTGAAGGCTGTGTAAATGGGTAGTAATTCAGTCTGTAAAGTAACACAAGGACCAGGCCAGAAGCCCCTTTTAGATGAACGATGTAGCGTCGTATCCTTAGCACACTGTGGGGTGCAGGGTACCCCTTATGCCAGCTGGCCGTCTCAAATAACAGAATGAAGTTTAGGTCACTGACAGAGAGGATCATGGGACATGGCTCGTGTATGATGTCATTTCCTGCTGGATACAAGTCACCCCCCTGTTGTGCACTGTTATTGTCCGCTGGGGATTTGTAAGCACACTGTATATTTACATGAAATCAGTCTGACTGGTTGCTCATTGGATGTGATTACCATCTGAAAATGTTCCATGAAAGCTGCTCCTCAGGCGATTTGTAGGCCTGTAACTCCACGCAGTGAGTCAGGCTGTGATTAACGCTGATGACCCCTGTGTTGCAGACGGGGCGGGAGCTACCCATCAGGCCTAGCGGCAGCAGACACATAAAGAAACAGACCTTTGTGGTGCATGCTGGGACAGATACCACAGGGGATATATTCTTCATGGAGGTATGAACCGTCTCCTCCCCTGCATTTTACTTGCGTGTGCGTTTCGAGTGTCTTACACCTGACGTTCTGATAGCTCTCCAGTTTAAATGCACACCCACACTCTCCCACAGATTACATCAGAACAAACAAAAGATCACAAGAGGGGGAGGCCCAGCTTGCTCGTTCACTACCTAGCAGCTAAACAGTGCAAAATCTCTGGGTCCAACAGGGTCTCAAGGATTTGGCTTGGATAGCTTGTTCCTGAGTGGACACCCATAACTCTTTGTGCAGAGTGGGGACCTCCAGTCCAAAATGCTCCCCTGTGCTTTCTTTGGGAGCTGGAGTGGAAGTATGGCGCAGTAGGAAGGAGCAGACGCCCCTCGCTCCGCTCCTGACCCTCCAGAGCTTTGCTACAGCCTCTCCCCTCGTCTTCTGCCCCCTCCACGCAGGTGTGCGACGACTGCATCGTGCTGAGGAGCAACATCGGCACGGTGTACGAGCGCTGGTGGTACGAGAAGCTCATCAACATGACCTACTGCCCCAAGACCAAAGTGCTGTGCCTGTGGCGGCGCAACGGGCAGGAGACTCAGCTGAACAAGTTCTACACCAAGAAGGCGAGTCCTTCCGGCCGTCCGGTAATCGGTCCCTCGGGGGAACGCCTGTATCCAGAGTGCTGCTTTCAGGAGACTGGGGGCTGGCGAGCAGGGGCTGCTACAGAGTCAAGTCCCCGGGGACCTGTCTGCGCGTGATCCAAAGGATGGGTTGCGTGGAGGTCAGGTGCAGTGCAAGGCTCAGGGCAGCACCCAGCTGGTCAGTGGCAGCTCAGATGGAGAACCTCCAAGTAAATAAGTGATTAGTTGTTTCTTAACCACTAAGCCAGCAAGGCTCCAGCAGCCCAGTTGCGTGCGACAAGGGGAGCGTCTGTGGGGCGGGTTGGTATGCCCCAAGAATACGTGCAGCATGGTGTGTGCATCGCGGATGGGATGCTCACTGTACCCATCATGGCATGCTTCCATGGGGAGCTGCCTGTTACTGACTTGCTGATGATGTGTGTTGCCTTTCAGTGTCGGGAGCTGTACTACTGCGTGAAAGACAGCATGGAGCGCGCGGCCGCCCGGCAGCAGAGCATCAAGCCAGGTAAGGCGGTTTCTCCCGTCGTCGGTCCCCTGAGTGTGCCCTGTGCGGGAGGAACCTGCCGTCTTGGGGGTTTTGTCTGTCTCTCTCTTGGAAGAGGTCAGCTGGCATCAGACCTGAAGTCTTCTCTGGGAAGTGCATTTAAAAGCCCAAGAACAGGAGGCACGTCTTCCCAGTGCAGTGTCGAGGGGGTCTGGATCCAGCTGCCCACCCTTGGTGTTGAAACTGACTTTCATGTGGAGCGAATGGCTTGACTTGGGCCTGACTTCCTTCGAGAAATGGCTGGGTGATATCTCTGGATCAGTCCGCTGCTAACTGCCACATGGGCTAGACGATTTGTATCACCTCCTCTCGTTTTGTAACCCTTCACAAAGTTCCCAAGTTCTTGGACAAGCTTGTCCATCGACCTGTGATGTGCCGCATGTGTAAAACTGGGTGGGTACTAACCACTCTGTGCTTTCACTGGGGCAGGAGGTAGAGGGAATATTGTTCTCATTCGTGACAGGGCAACTGTGTCTTCAAGCCCTTGTTAAGTAAACTTTTAATTAACTTAATTGGTTTGCCTAAAATTATTAAATTAAGTGGACAATATGACATTTGTCCCTCCTGGACCTCAGTGTACAGTATTTTACGGTAACAAGCCCTGGGTCAGTCTCGTCTGTGGTCGGAATAAAATCTCCTGGTTTAGCTGCGATTGGTGAAGGGATCGGCTCAGTTCACACACCCTGTGCGCTCGGAGGCCTGCAGCCTGAGCCCCCCCGGTCTGAAGTCTGCTTCCTCCCCACGTTCCTCAGGGCCGGAGCTCGGCGGGGAGTTCCCGGTGCAGGACATGAAGACAGGCGAGGGGGGTCTTCTGCAGGTCACGCTGGAGGGCATCAACCTCAAGTTCATGCACAGTCAGGTAGGGGGTCCTGGCCTCGCCGCGGCGCCTGGCCCGCCGCCCCACCCCCCGGCTTAAGCGCTCGCTCACGCCCTCCCCCTCCCTCCTGCCCTCCCTCCCGCTCAGCGTGCGGCCCGTTTCCTCTGAGCTGCGGCTCGCCCCACGCTCCCGATCCCCGGTAACGACGAGCTCACAGGACACGGACCCCCCCACCACCCCCCCACCCACGCGCCGTGAGCCACCCTCTTGCCCGGCGGTCACTTCGCATTCCGTTTCAATACGGGCGGAAAACGTGACCTTTACCCAGAATGCATTGCCAAGCCAAAACGGATTGCCGTGAGCACTGTGTCACAGTAGAAACCCCACCTCAGAGGAAGCCGTCGTTTTGTGTTTTAGCTTTCTTTTCTTTGCTCCTCATTTGCTGTGCAACCTCTACCCACAGTATCCTGTTTTCTGACATGTTCGCATCTGAGATATTCTGTGTCTATAATGCCTGTATACCATAGCCTGTGCTGTTGTGCCCTGCCCTGTTTTCACAGTAAGTGTGCGTATATTTCATGTCGAGGGTGTGCGCGGGGGGTTTATTCTCGCTATTTGATTGGGTGTTGGAAAGTTGACACTTTAGCAAGGTAAGTCAGGACAGGGATCCTGATTGAGACAAAGACTTTTCATTAATAATTGGTTCCGTGTGTTTTTTTTTTTAATTTACTCTTTTGTTCAAATCACCTTTTCTTTTTGTTTTGCCCTCTCAGCATTCTGATTTCTTGTAACATTTTTTTTTAATTGTGAAAGCTTTTTAGGGGGAAAAAAACTAAATGTATTACCTTTTAGTTTTGATCTTTAATTTTTAGGATATTACCAGCATAGACTATTGGAACACACTGGAAAAAGGAAAAATAATGTAACCGTATTTTCAGCATAGATGGTGTAGCGTTTGACACTCTTTTTCCATTTGATTTCAAAGCTACGATGGAATAGTCCAGAAAGGTTTTATTTTGGAACTATTGGAGGCAAGTGAGTGGATTCTCAGCTCAGTGTGTTTTTCCACTCTGTGGTCCCGAAGGTTTCTTTCAGAAGTCGTAGAGAAATATGTTCGGGGCCCAACTCAGTCGTGTCGTTTAGAACTGAACTGGTTCGACTACCATGCATACTGTAGTTCTACATGCATCTACTGTACAAGGTACTCTTTATCGAATTGCAGTGCATATTCTTTACAGCCTGTCCTCTGCTCATTAGTCACATGGAAATGAAACCTTTAATGAATCCATGTTTTATGATTATTAATATAACTGCAAGAAATTATTGGCACCCACTTCAGTGTTATACACTGACCAAATGTAATAAATCCATTTTATACAAATAGTCATTTGTAACTGATTTCTTCTCTATGTATACTGAGCACCCATTCACATCGAGAAGTGAGTTTGTGAAGCGTGAGATGTCTTGTGAATTAACTCCCTTTATTTGAGCAGAGAGACCTTCTGTCTCCGCGGTTCAACAGAACCCCAGTTTGACAAGTTAGTCAGTAATGTCTCAAGCGTGCAGGGTACCTTGAAACCTCGGAGCAGGGCAAGAGGGAAGATTACATGTTTGACTACACAGGAGCCCTGTAGTGCTCAGTTCCCCCAGGTTAGCCAGGTTGATACAAGTCCCCTGGCCACATCCATCCAGTTAGTAACGGAAAGATAAACGTTTCGCAAGTGGTAACTGTCGTAGCTGACGCACACAGATGGTAACACTCCATTTCTAGTTCTATGGCCAAACCGAAGGAAATGTCCATAGAGTACTGTGCAAAAGTATGAGTGATGTGTGTACACACACACACAGCACTGACTTATATTAGCGTCACACAGGCGGTTTGAGTGTATAAATAAGGAACAAGTAAAGATTTATTCTTGTGCTGAAAAGATAAGAAAAGAAATGCAGCGTTTTGGCTGTGGAGCCTTTTTTGGGTGTGCTTGAAGTAGGTCCTTGAGCTGCTTGAACGAAATAAGAAATAACACAGTAGGGAAAAAAAAGATGACATAAAATAGTTGGCATAATATTTTGTCCGTTTCCCACTCCTTGGTTTATGCTTTGCTTTTGTTTACTCGTTCTTCCACTGCAATGTTGTAAAACACTCCTCAAGTCCGGGTTCCGGGCTTGTTGGACTGCCCCTGTTTTCCCTGGGCTCCGTGCGGCTATCCCTTACGGCCCTGTTCGATTCGCCGGAGCCTATTCACCCGGGCTCCTGCTCACAGTCCACCCATTTCCCCCTGCTCTAGCAGGGCGTTTTGGATCGTCCCCCTCGGCAGGAAAATCCGGAGGAGAGTCCACCGATCTCAGATAACTTGGACTCCGGCGGCGGTACTGTATCGGTCGAGCTGCTCGGAAAGCGCTGCTTCTCCGGCCAGTCTTGCTCGGAAGTCTTGCCGCCTGTTGAGTTTAACGTCTGACCCCAGAAAGTCCCCTGTATCCCAGAAAGCATTGGTAAAGGGGAGAGGCGACCCCTTTGTCATCTGGCGGCTGAGAGAGAGAGAAGCCAGTTAGGAGTGGACAGGCGTGTCACAGCACACCCCTTCCACCCCCCAGCCTGTCTTCCATCTACCTGTTCCAGTAATTTAACAAGCGTAGCAGGAACCAAACTGAGCCCTGTGGAACAAGCCTGTGCCAGTGACTGAGCCCACTTTCCCGGTTTGCTGCGGCGGGGGGAGCCCGCCCCCTCGCCCCCTGCTGGCTGTTGTGGAGCGCTGCCCTTATGCAGCGGGGGCGGGGGGGCGCTGTTCAGACTGTAACGTGCTCATGCAGTCACCAGCCCTCATTGCTGGAGGAGGACGCATGGAGGTGGGAGGGGTGGGCGGGGTGGCTTAGCTTTTTAAAGAATGGCGGGGGAGGGGGGCGGCTCATACCGATTTGCTTGATTGATTTATGGCGTTACTGGTACTTACTGGTCCACGATTTCCCCAATTGGTCTGATATTGCCCATGTCGCAGCGAAGCACTGTCTTTCACCTTCAGTGGGTTGTAACTTGCTCTCTGTATCCAATATTAATCCAAGCCGTTTCTCTTCCATGCTCTCTCCCCCTGCAAGGAGCGGAAGGTATTGCTCTTCTGCTATCTTTGCTTCTTAGCAGTGAATTTTATTTCCTGTAACCCACCTCCCCCCTCCCCCCACCTGTTTTGTCCCTTTCTTCTCCTGACGTTTTGATTTGAGCTGTGTGGCCGATCTGTGGATTTCTGTGTGCGTCCTCCCCCCCCCCCCCCTCTTTCTACTGTGTCTGGCGTCTCCATCCTCGTTCTCGGTGTGGCGTTCCTGTTCCGCTAGCAGTCCTGTCCACTCCTGGTCCTGGAGGGGGCCGGTCAGCCCCACGGGGTTCGTCAGTCCAGCTCGGCCCGTCGCGGCGAGCTAAACCAGCAGCTTACTGGGTTTACTGGACCGATTTGACCAGCCCCTCCCAGCTCTGCTGGTGCTGCTGATTGCAGAGAACCGGCTGACACCGCCCCCCCCCCCAGGACCAGGACTGGCCACCCCTGCGCCCGTGCATTAAAGAGCTTGCGTAGTGTGGTGTCCCATTTTGTTTTCTGTGGTCGCCGTCGTCGTCGTCGTTTCCCTCTGGGTGACGTTTTTGTCTAGTCTGATCGTGCGTTACATGCTCTGTTTTTGATTTTGTTTTTATTTCCCCTTGCGGGGTTCTGAAACGATTTTGCTAACGTTTCCTTTTTCTGTTTCTTCTGTTTGTTGTTTTTTTTTTGTTTGTTTGTTTGTTTTTTTCGTTTTAGGTTTTCATAGAGCTGAGTCACATTAAAAAGTGCAATACAGTCAAAGGAGTCTTTGTCCTGGAGGAATTTGGTAATTACATTATTTTGATATTAGGTTTGTACGCGACATGGACATGGCAGTAACTCAGAATCACCACACAATTCCTCTCTACATCTGCTGGAAGCCGAGCACCCATAGAACGGAGTTCAACAGAGTGGTTACTGTAGGGTCTAGAACTTGTCAGTGATAGATCTTAATCATTAAGGTAGAAATACAGAGGCATTATGTTGTACTGCACCTTGCATTAGTGGACTTCGCCTGATTATTTGCATAGACCTTATCATTTTATTTGCAGGATGGATGGTCTTTACCCCGTGCAGGGATTTGTGTTAGATGGGTGCCTGGAGAAGCTAAACCCGAGCTCCCCCTTGTTCTGGGTGTGCTTGCCTGTGCTTTATCAAGCAGAATCAAGCCATTGAGGCCCATTTTGCCTAAAAGGCTACAGTGCGTCTGTGAAATTAGATCAGGCTGGTCTTTATCAGGAGGAGTGAATGCATAGTCTTGGCCTTAGTTTTGTAATGAGCTAAGAAGTGCCTGCAGGAAAGTTCACCTTTGCAGAAGTGCTGTGAAGCCTGTATAAAAAGATGCTTCCATTAAACGACAGCAAGCGGCGTTGAAGGAGAAATATCGCGGCCCTTGGACTTGTATGCATATATAAGCATGTTTGAAGTAGGCTCAATACGGTGGCAGTGTAGCTCATTGATGTCCTTGTGAATGGCTCAGGGTTTGGGGTTCCTTTACTACACTGAAGGAAGGGTGAAGGGAGAGGGAAAGAGGGGGTTAGTGCACCCCACAGTCACATTAAGCATTAATATGAATCGGGGAGGAGGCACTCTGGGTAGGACTGTGCTGGTTTGGGTTACTGCTGTGTTTCTGTGCTTCTTTTTGTAATTCGTTCCCTCACCTTCGCTGCTATGAAAACCTTCATTCTCCAGCAGGTAAAGTGCTGTCACATGTTTCTCTCGACTGTGTGTCAGGACCTCTCTCAGCCCCACTCACCCCATTTCTCCCATGACCGACGACATTACTGGGTTCTCGTTTTTTTTTAATTTCGAATTAATTTTCCTGGAAAATCAGCATTCCTTTTTTCTTTGTCCAACACGGGGGGCATATGTTTACGTACGGAGCATAGACACCTTCCCGGAAGAGATGCACCCTGTTAAAAAAAATGCAGAGGTCAAGATTTGTGCTAATTAAGGGTCGTTTTTGCGATTCTTTAAAAGCTGCCCTTTAAGAAAACAGAGCCAGGGTATTGTTTTATAGGGTTTCTTAGTGGTCTTCTCCAGACCAGGTCAGTAAAAAGGAGTGCTGATTCCCTCTATCCATTCTGATCGCACTGAGCAGACCCCAGTCATTCTCTCACAGTTACTAATGAAAAGTCTCGATATGTAAATCCCAAGACACATGATTCTTTGTTGTCAGCTTGATTGTTTTAAGTCTTTTTGCTTTGAGAGGTTTTTTTTCCCCCCTCGGGTTTTGGTAAAAACTCCCCGTTTTCATCCTTAAGGTGACGGTTCTGTAGCATGCTGTAATGTAGACGCAGGCAGACTCACTCACCCTCATATCCTTTTGCTTCTCTGCTTTTAATTTTTAAGTGAAATTCTGTTTTACGTTCTACAGTTTTTTGTCTTCCGCTGCACCATATTGGCTTCAGCAACACGGCTGGGTAGCTTGTTCCACACTCCTACACCCCTTAGCGTAAAAAAGTGCCTCCTGTTCTTAGTTTTTCAGTGCTCTCCCACGTAAAACGGCACTGGCGCAGGTCATTTTCTGAAGGTGTGGCAGCATGTACAGCATAAAAAATATTATCCAGAGCTGTTCTACCACACTGTTTCAGGTCATGAAGTTAAGAATTTCATTCGTACTGTATATAGTTTGCTGAAAATGTATCTTTGTGACATTCTGGAGAGGCAGTAATGTAGTATTAACACAGAGTGTTTGTCAGACATTCCCACACCCTGCCAGCTGATTCCTAGACCTTGTGTTATTCCAGGTCTGGAATTTCATGAATCCCTGTGAGAGGCTTCTTTTTCAAGCTGCCCGTAGAATTTTGGCAAGCCAAATTCTACGGGCAGCTTGATGAATATACAACCTTGTCTTCATCTCTCCTGCAGTCAGTATCTCTGCTGCAGCTGGTACACAAGTGTCATTTCATTTAGCCCTTGCGGAGCTGCAGTTTCTAGTGCGAAATCCATGATGTGAATCCCCCCCCAGCCTGCAAATTTAAAAAAAAGTATGGTTCATATTGCCTACTCCAGAAAAAATAAAGCTTCTTAGACTTAGTTTTGCCAAACTTTAGTATCCACATTCCTATGGAGATATACTATACATGATTTATTCCTGAAACCCTGCTGTGTAGCGAAAAACACTTCATATCACTTAAACTCTGTAGCAGTTTGTTTTTGTCATTTCTTTTTATGAATTGATGTGGGAGACAGAGTTCGCTGGTAGGTCTGACATGTTCTGCTAGGCTTCAAAGACAGACACCTGGTGTACTCCTGACTGTCTGTGTGTTGGTGTATGCGGTTTGAACTGCCTTTCTTATTATAATTTGCACTGCCTTGTACCCTGACGTGTTCAGTTTTTTGGTGTCGCTGGCTCTTCCACCTGTGTTGAATTCTTTGTTTTGTCTCTTGCACATCCGGTTTTAGTTCCTGAAACTAAAGAAGTGGTGATCCACAAATACAAGACCCCAATGGTAAGTAGAACTCTCCGCCTCAGTTTCCTCCCAGAGCACGGGGTTGCAGAAGGTCAGGGGTCGTGTAGTGCCTTTGGAGGGGGTGGGGGGGGGCCTGGAGGGTAGTGTCAGGCTTGGCTTCCTCGCTGGCAGGAAGTCTTCAGAGGGATCAGCCAGTGGTAGCTGTGCCTCACCCTCCCCACCAGCCTGCTTCCGCTGCAGCAGATCTGGGCCTCCATAAGCCCAAGCTCTGTGTGTAGCGTTTAACACGCTCCCCCTCCGTGAAACCGAGCTGTGCGGCCTCACCTTTTATCCCCCCACCGATCATCAAGAGCACGTTTGTGCCAACACTGCTGGAGGAAGTCTTGCATGCAGTCAAACGAATATGCCTTGCCTTGGTTTGGCTCCTGCGTTTTTGAACAAATTCACGATTTGAATTGGTTGTGGGGAAATGGGGGAATAAATTATAGTAGTGATATTAGACTTGTGGCAACTTCGCTGCCTTCACTGGTAAGGTTCCCTTGGATAATCGTCAGTTTCTTTCTTATTTTGGAATGACGGTGGGCAGTTTGCACGTGTCAGTGTAGTGTTCGTTTTTCACGGTGTAGCAGGACATGGATCTTAATCCTGGGCTTTCTGTAACGGCACAGTCTTTTTTTACAGGCATTTCTCGAAAAGAGTAGGGGTGTAACCCCGGCGTCCTGGCCAAATTTCCCGTTGGCCCTTACCAATCATGGCTTCCTAATAATCCCCATCTAGGAATTGGCTTCATTACTCTGCTCTCCTCCCCACTGAGAGCTGGTGTTTGGTGAGCGTTCTGGCGCACTATGGCTGCCATCGCATCATCCAGGTGGATTATTGGTGGGGGTGGAGGGGATCCCCATTACCTGTAAAGCACTTTGAGTGGAGTGTCCAGAAAAGCGCTATATAAGTGTAAGCAATTATTATTTTAAATGTATTTTCCCTTCAAATATACAGTATGTGGGACTGGGGTTACCCAGCAGTGGCTAGCAGACACTGCTCCTCAGCCCTTCAGTAATGCATCTGAGCCAGTGTAGACACCTGCCCAGAGATCTAGCTTGGGGTCATGTCACAGGTGATTGGGGTTCCCCAAAGTTCTCCCAGGGCCAGTAGTGCTCAGCTGCTTGGGGAACCCCAGTTCGAGCCAGTCCGATCTGTTACTAGTGAGAGCTCATCTGCCCCTCCTCACCCTGCGTATACAGGAGTCGTCGCTGTGAGCCGAGCAGTGAAGGAGCAGCTAATTCCAAATTCAGTGGGCGTGAAATGTAAAAGGGGTGGCACAGTGGTGAACTAATTCCTGGGGTGCTGTCTGTGTGGAGTTTGCATGTTCTCCCCATATTCACGTGGGTCTCCTCCGAGTGCTCCGGTTTGCTCCCACAGTCTAAAGACATGCTGGTAGGTTAGTTTGCTTCTGGGGAAACTGGCTCAGCTGGGAGCGTGTCTGTGTGTGTTTGCTCTGTGATGGCCTGGCGTCCCATCCAGGGTGTATCCTGCCTTGTGCCTGTTGCTTGCTGGGACAGGTTCCAGCTCCCCCATGACCCTGTATTGAATAAAATGGTCAGAAAACAGCGGGATAAAATGTCAAATAATGTTTTAGTCCATCGTGGTTTTCTTTCTAAATCTTTGTGCTCTGCTTTCTTCTTGTCCTGTATTAAATGCAATGTGTCTAACTTTTGAAGAGAATGAAGTAGAGGCTGCTGGCGGAACTCGAGGGCGGAGTTGTGGGATTTGTCCACCGGTGCGCTGCGCGTCTTTCACAGACGTCTGTTTGAATACTTCTGCTCCTGATTTTAAATAGTCTCTGTGCTTTGACCTCCCCTCCCCCAACAGGCCCACCAGATCTGCTACTCCGTGCTGTGTCTCTTCTCCTACATGGCGGCGGTCCGAGGAAAGGAGGTGGAGAGCAAACCGAAAGCCCTGTGCCCGCGGCCTGTGCCCAGCTAGCCCACGCCGCCCCTCCTCTGCTGGGAGGGCCATCACGTGGGGTTGCGTGCGGCGATGCGCCCCCCATTCCCTCGCCCTGTCCTGTCCTGTCCGGGGCCCGGCTCCAGTTTTAGTGTACAGAAGAACAGTTCGCTCTTGCCTTGGTATTTCTTTTTATTTCTGTGCCGGTCCCTGTTGTGCGTGTGTGTCAGGGAGGGAGAGGTCAGGGGTCAGGGGTCAAGGGTCATCATTCCCCTGTGTGTATTTGTCATTCTTCCTGTTTTAACTATCGCCACTTCCATTGCTTCTTTTAAAGTGGGATTCTGAATGTATTTATGTTTCTTTTTTAAACCCAAACAAGGAACGAAACAAAAAAAGAAACGCCCGACAACAGCTTCCATTTTGCAGGGCGCCTAGGCGTTATTTCCCTTGAGGTTTGTTTTTCCTCACAGTAGCCTAAAGATTTTTGCTCTCCCTCGGTCTGAATGAAAGCGCTTGGCATCGGACGGCAGGGACTCTTCACAGTTTTCGGCAAAAGCAACTGTACAGATCCCGTGTCACGCTGTTGCTTTTTAAAAGCCTGCAGCTCCTCTCTCTTAACCATGTTGAGTATGCGATTAGATATATTACTCTTGCTTTATGATGTTGTAAGCACAAACCTGTTACACCTGCACTAATGAAACATTTAAAAAGCACAGGGCTGGGGGTCACTGTACTGTCAGTTTGTTCCTAAGACTCCAAAGTTAACAATGGCTCCGAAAAGCAAAATCAGTCAGGATCTCCTCTTAAACAGGATAAAAATGAATTTCCCTTGTCCGCTTTGTTGCTTTTTGAATGTTTCAATGCATCCAAAATGTTGTGAGTGATTTTTAGGTCATGTGATCTTACCTAGCTTGCCTTTAGAGGCTAAACTACTGTATTATCAGATTTATGTCCGTGGTCAATGGTATTGAAATGCATGTTCTACTTCTGGAAAACAACAAAAAAAAAAGCTGTACATTTCACCTCAGAAAAGAGAAACACTATCCATGTGCTGTTATCTGTCTGCTAGATTCAGGTGTATATACAGTAGATGTCACGGTAGAATGGACAACTTTGTTGCTGAAGCAAACTGTTTTGGGTCAAACAAAAGAATGAAAAGAAAAACCTTATACTGTATATAAATACTATAAGGAAATATGGATAAATGTGAAAAACTGCCACAAAATGCTGTTACAAGGGAATTTAGAAGCACTGTTTATGATAAAGACTGTAAAGACTACCGTGATATAGGCAGTGCTGACCCATGTTTATAGCTTAGAAGCTGGAAGAGGGGTTTCTCTTGTGTGCTGTGATAATGTTCCCAACATGTATGATATATGGATAAATGTAGTTATAAACGTTTTTTTTTCTTGTGTACGTTTTTAGAAGAGGAAAAATACTGGTTCTGTCTTTAATAGTCAAGTGCTGTAGATGCACAAGAGCTGACTTCTTCCATTCGAATAGAATCCCCTCGATACGTTGACACAACAGGGGAATAAATTGCTGTGTAAATACTGAGTTTCAGAACCAGATGAGGTTTCTCCTGGGGTACACTGCACCTCTGGGGTTTGGGGTGGGTGGCGAGATAGTACGGAATTCACCGATCCAAGTGTGCTGCTGAAGAGAAACGGGGACATCTGATGTAAATATTTCAGTATTAAAAATATTTATAGAAATTGTACAGCTTTGGCAATATGAGAATAAAACATGACCAGCCCGGAATTTCTGAAGTGAACTTTCAGCCTGTTTTTGTCTGTGACCTTTTATTGAGTGAATCACCTGCAGGAATTTTTGTTGTTTTTTTTTTCCCCAAAAAGGTTAAACATTATTGAAGGAGAATTCAAGGTTCTTCAGAGGGCTTTCTCAGCATGACAATCCCATGTATGCAATTTATGTTCCGGTTTCTTTTTTTGTTTTCTAACGAGAACTGTGTACCATTCCTAGTGTGTTCAGATTTGATGAATATGTGCAAGTAAACTTGAAATGCAACTTTTAATTGAATAAAAGAGAACTTTGGGGATGGTAATAGGTTTAGTTTTAAAAATGTGCAGGACTGTGAACTATGCATTTGCACATCTGTACATTATGCAATGTTCCTGTTTGAATTGTGACCATAAATCAAGCTTCCTGCTTCCTTTTGGGGTTTAATTAAAATAATTAGAAAAGGTTTGTTCTGTGTTGAAAGTTAAGGGAAAGAAAAACTGTTTCAAATGCTGAGCCTTCCTCAGGCATGTCAGGTTTAACTCTGATACCAATTTAAAAAAAAATACCGCCAGGGTTAGTCCTACTGTGATAGGGATGTGTGGGTAATAGTTATTGCTCAAGTTGTGCACCAGAGGGCAGCATTGCACCATTGGAACGACCGTGGTGCAGGGGTCAGCATTGCCGTCTTGCCGAAGTCCAAAGACGTACTGGACCAGCAGGTTAAGTGGCTTTTGGGGAAAACTGGCTCTGGTGTGATTTTGTGCAGGTCTGCGTTTCCTGTGATGGACTGGCGTCCCCATCCAGGTTGCACCCAATAGATAGGTGCCCGTTGCTATGCTGGGACAGGCTCCAGCTCCCCCGAGACCCTGAATTGGGAAAAACAGTTAGAAAATGGGTGGATGGATGAGTGTTAGTAGTCTGTAATTGATGCATGGGGGGGTCTCAGTAATGAATTCAAGTAAAGCAGAATTTAGTGCAGACATCTGAGCCATGGTCATTGCGCGCTTTGCAGCAGTCCTGTATCGCAAGTTCTACTGACGGTCCTCCTTTTGGGGGGTAAAATGGGGCAAATAAAAAAAACCTTTGCTTATTGACATCCGTTGCATCCCAAGGTGCCTTGACGACAGCCTCCCGTGCTCTCGGTGTCAGCGATGGTGGGGTTTGATTCTATGGCTGTAGGAGCTGGGGAGGCGTTTCCCTGGAAACCAGCCTCACCCCTCCGCCAGACTCTGTGCAATGAGAAGAGCACCCAGTGGTCTTGGTAACAGGTGGGACTGAGATGGCTTTTTCTGCATTTCTGAGGTCTCTGAAGAATAATCTCGTAGGATTAGGCTCTCCACAGACAGGCTTCCTGGATCCGACATCCGTTGCAGCCTGACATGGTTCAGCCCTCTTTTGCTTATTTAATACTTTATTTCAACCTCACGAGTCGAATGAAGTCAAAGGGCCCATCTCAAGGATACAACACCAATGTCCCACCTGGGACTCGAACCCATGACCCTCTAGTTCGAAGTCAGGTCCTACTGCAGGCTCCAAACTCTCCAGGCCTCGTGGTCATTTTTGTTGTTCCTGATGATCCTACCTAGTTGGAAGACTTGTCAAGATTCTGTTTGGAATATAGGACTTGGGGGGAGTTCCTGGCTGCAGGTGACCCAGACTCTCACAGGTTTGAAACGGACGACCTTGCTTGGAAATACGTCATCCACTGAGGCTTGGTGCCACCTGTCATGGTGCAGTCGTATAGTCCCGCCCAGTGATATTCTTAGATAATGGAGCTTTCAGTGAGATTACTTAGTAGACATAATAGTCCTCCTGCTAAAAGCCACGGCGAATGTTTCTAAAAGGCCGGGTCACATTATTCTACACAGGGCAGGACTCTTAAAGACTTGACGCCTGCCCACAGACTTGCCTCCTTAAAAGAACAAAATCCTATTTGCGCAGAGAGCCGTGTGGATTGGTGTGTATCGAAACATTACACCTCCTGCCCTTGAGAAGTTATTTTTGTTGCTGGGAAGAGTATGTACTTGGCCGCGATATCTTCAAAAAAGAAAAAAGCCCCTTTAAATTTAAGACGAAGCTGTGCTCGGTTTGCTTCAGTGGGTTACTGCGGTAGAGGGTTTTGCAGTCTAAGAGGTTTTTGCCCAACACCGTGAAAGATGAGCAGAAAAAAAGCTTTAGAACTAAGCAGGTAACGTTGTCTTTGTTTTAGGAGCTGGTTGACCTACAGTGCCTGGGCACTGTGAGTTTGCAATCTGCCCCGAGTGCTGGCGCTTGCTCATTGAGGACAGAGGCCAGCCTGCGGTTGGGTTCAGGCTAGGGGAATTCTAGTCATCAGGAGCTCGCCCGTTATGTACTGCCGCGTGTTGGAAACAGTAGGCTGAGCTGCGTCTGGGGACCTGGAGAATTCCACATGTCCGTCTGGAACAGGCCTCTCGGTGCCAAAGACATGCCCAGCATTGTCGCCCTCAACGTGGAGCGCCTCTCCCGAAATGGACCTGACCAATGGTGACCCGCAGGGGGCGGCATTGAGCTGCAAATGTCCTGGGACAGCGGGGCTGTGCAATTCTGTGTCCGCAGGGAGGAGGTGTTGCGGTTTTTTCCGTTTCTCTCTTAGTTGGCAATGCCTTACAAACTGGCAATCACTCTTCAAACCCAGTTAGAGGCATTCATCTCTGGGACTAGGCACTTACTGTACAATCACTGCAGGAAAAATCCGATACCCTGCAGTAAACAGAATTGGACACCCCTGCCGTGAAAAGCCACGTTCGTGTTTCAGCTGTGTCCACAACGGTCTTACAGGAACAGTGCGTTTCATATCCACACTTCCAGTGAAATAGTCTCTCTACGGGTTAAACTACGGTTTGTTTTTCACCTGAAGCATGCCTCCGTGCCCTTTTCAGCTGGGAAACTGGTGTTAATTGAAAGTGATGGACAAAAACCAGAGGGCATGTGTCCTATACTCTCGTTTCTTTTGAGAAGTGGGCATTTTCGTGTGAGCTATCGCAGCATCCGTGTGCAGTAGATTTTCTCGAAGAGCATGTGTTTGTTCTGCCCAGGATTGCTTGCCTTACAATTAAAATATCGCATGGTTTGATCATAAGGACGAATCCTCCCCCTATATATAAGCACAGGGGTGAAATCTGACTGTAGCATGAAGGACATCAGCTCAGCACTCGTCAGCAGCACCTAGTGCTCTGGGTTATCAGTACTGTGTATCTGCAGCTCTCAGACATTTACAGCAGCCTGGCGACACAAGTGTGGGACTTTAAAGATAGTTGTTGTGACATATCAGCCACAGCTCTGTAGTCTTTTAATACAGTATATTCGTCCAGGAGGGTAACTAGAAAAGCAGCTGAGCTCCGGGATTGGTCTCGTCATGTTTCGATGGGTTTATATTTCGATTTTGTGAAAGAAGGTCCTCATTGCGTTTTTGCTGTGCCGCAGGAGGCCTCGGCCTTTTAAATTCAAGGACCAAAACTGAAATTTTGCAGTTAAAAATAAACAGAATTATAATTTTTTTTAATTTGAGTGACACAAGATGGCAGCATGGTGGGCTGGGGAGAGCTCTCACAGGGGGATTATAAGAACCTCAGGAACATCGTTTAATGCATCTCTCTCTTTTTTTAATCACTTAAAATTTGGCCAGAATGACATCCCCTGTTTTGTGCCAGTATTTTGACCGTGTGCTTTTGAGAAGGCAGTTTAAAAGTCTCGATCCTTACAAAACACCAACAGCATAATCGCACATTGGTGGTTCAGTGGTAGGATTCTTGCCTGTCACGCAGGAGGCCCGGGTTCGATTCCTGGCCAATGCAGTGGCTTTCGGCAGTAGCCATAGCACCCTGTAACTCACAACTGGCAACACACTGGAGCTCACCAGGTGTGAGCCTGGCCACTACCTGGGTGGGAAAGCTAAGGCTGCTGCTGGAAGAGGTGTGAGTGGGGCCAGCAGGGGACGCTCACCCTGCGGTCTGTGTGGGTCCTAATGCCCCAGTATAGTGACGGGGACGCTGTACTGTAAAAAAAGGCACCGTCCTTCGGAAGAGATGTAAAACCGAGGTCCTGACTCTCTGTGGTCAATAAAAATCCCAGGGCGTTTCTCGAAAAGAATAGGGGTGTTACCCCAGCATCCTGGCCAAATTTCCCCCTGGCCTTTACCAATCATGGCCTCCTAATAACCCCCATCTCTGAACTGGCTTCATCACTCTGCTCTCCTCCCCACTGAGAGCTGGTGTGTGTGAGAGGACTGGCGCATCATCCAGGTGGGGCTGCACACTGGTGGGGGTGGAGGGGATCCCCATGACCTGTAAAGAGCTTTGAGTGGAGTGTCCAGAAAAGCGCTCTATAAGTGTAAGCAATTATTATTAATTATAAAACAGTGCATTACTATGGGCTTGAATTCTAGTTCCATTTGCAGCAGGGTGTAATTATTCTACATTCAGCGTTCTGATAATTCGACATCTCTAAGGTACCACAACCAGAGGAAGGTGTGGTTCTAAATCCGGTTTCTTCCTTGTATTTTTAGACAATAACCAAGTTGGATTGCTTTTTGTTCCGTTGTCATCCTCTTCTTTTCATATCCTTCAAAAGCGCAACACTTTTGCCGTTTCAGAGGTGGGTCTCGGGCAGTGCAGCTCATTTTAATATTAGCCACACCCCAGTATCACAGGTAGTGCACAACAGCTCACTCGGACCTTGCAAGGCTATTCCAAAGACTGCACTTGTTTAATAACAGTGAGCTACATCTTGAACGCTAATCTCCTACAGTCCTTTTATCGGTGTCATCAGAATTTTTCCTGTGTCATGCCTCAGTGTGTGTACATACAGTGTATGCAATAAGTGGCACTAAATGTCACTCTAAATGCCATTAATTCAAACACTTGTTTATTGTGTTTCTAAGGCCACAGTGTGTATTTTAGATATGCAGTTTTATTTTGAAATTTGCATTGCTGCAGTGCTCTGCTTTGATATACTGATTCTAGTTACACTTTGCCAAAGTCCTTAAGCACTAAATACCATTCCTTTTCCTAGCTTATCATTTTGATTAATTGCGATTAAGTGTTATGTTACGCTTGGACACGTATGACCTTTAATACCCCACTCCTAGCTGTTACATTAATAACCCGACGCACTTTCTCAATCCCCGACATCTGACAGGTGTCCTGCTCCGGTCGTGGGCCGTGTCATATGAGACCTGCGCGCCACAGGATTGTAGCGTGCCCTGCATTGTGTCGACGGGCTGCAGCCTTAAATAAAGCTTTAAAACATGGGATGCTATAATTTAATCAGCCGGCAAACCCGCGCGGTCTCAACCCAGACGTGCTCTCGCACAGTGCTGTGCGAAATGGCACGGTCCTTCGCTGTGACACGCATCAAGTTTTTATTTGAGGAAATGTGAAGACTGCGTGTTCCGTTTGCTGTTCTTTCTGGGCAGCCGTGATCGAGAGTGACAAACCAAAAGCGTGAGTCATTTACATCAGCTGGCCGATGGTCTCCGTGTTCGGTTGTGCGTGTCGGCACACTGCGACTCTACGGAAGAGCTTGAGCCGAAGTAATGGACCGCCAGCGGAAAGAGAGCCACATCTCCGGTGTTCACTTACTGCATTATATGCTGAGTAAGTCGACGAATCCCCTTGTGCTCATCCTCTACACATTATGGGAAAACCTGCTTTAAGTGACTCTGCAGGAGCTGTTGTGATCCCTCACTCAATACATTCTCTCTCTGTAAAAGTTTCCTGGATAAAAACCTGCTCATTGCCTGTTATCCTTATAGGTCTGTAGTGTTTTCGTCTGAGTTGTGGGCAGTTGGAGCACAGGCATGCTAGAGCTGGCAAGAGTGAAGCCATGCAGGGATGGATTGATGCACCATTGCAAAACGGAGAGGACTGCCTGCCTGCCAGCACCATAGTGTATCCACCTATGTATTGAGATCTAAGCCAATAGTGTTGACATTCATGACAAACAGTAGCAGCCATTCCTGGGAGCTTATCTCCCTCCCCCCCCTTCTTAAATGGTTTCTTAAAATCTTTTATTAGGCATTCATGATCCCCTCTACTAAATCCACACACATGCCGAGGATCTTGCCCTCTTTCGCCCTCCGTTGTTCGGCCCCGTTAGGGCTGTGACACAGAGTTGGCCCGGTGTGCTGGCAGCCTTCTCCTAAACTGTCAGTGCTCATTTACGGCGGGGGGTTGTTTTACACTTCCTCTCGTTCACGAGCTGGGCTCCGCCTCGCCACAGCCAGCCCCCTGCGCCGTCAGCTCGCTCGCTTCATCTCGGCTTTGCTTGCTGCTCAGGTCTCTCCTGGGGTCCGGCCCACTGCGGTGCATATGGAGGTTTGCAGACGTTTTTTAGCTGGAAGTAGCTGCTGGCTCATAAGGCTATTTTTGTGTGTGTGTGTTAAAAATGTGTTTAGGCTTGGAAGACGTAAGAAAGACTGCGAAAGGAAGAATTTGGCCAGCTTTTCCCGTTTGATTGCTAATTGATCAGACAGTTAAAACCTGCCACTTTCTAAATGAAAAAAAATGTGCCCTCGGGTTCTTTGTCTTAAATACACCGACATGTAGTTTGTGTCCCCTGGTTCATTATTCTCTTTTCAAATTAAAGCAGAGGTTTACCAGTTACAATACTTGATTAAACCTACATAACTCTCAGTTCAAGGCATACTGTGTATGCACTTTGATGTTCATTACTGGAAACTGGGAGAGGCTTTTCCGAGTGGCGTTAGAACAGTGGAGGGCTGGTGATCTCCGAATCTAAGGGTAATATTCTATAGAGTTAGCAACTTTAATGTCAAACCCCGTTATGGACTGCAAGTTTCTGCTGATTTTGCAAAGTCTTCATGCCAGGAGTATTAGCGCTATCATAATACAGTCTCTTAAACCTCTAGACAGCTCGGAGAGTTAATGATGGTACAACATTCCTAGAAAGGAACGTCATGCCAGGATCAGTTGCTGCGTGAGGGATGACTTCATCAGCAGAAAAATAGAAACCCTTTAAGCGAAGGAGGCAACTGTAGCATAAGTCACCTCCCAAGGCCACTGATTAACGCAAACTGTCCTTCTGGTTATGATCTGGTTAATATATAGATGCCTTAGATCAGGAGTTGTTTTAGCTCTTCCGGCTGGAGGAACGCCTATTCAGCTGCCACTTTCACCCTGCAATTCACAACTAGCAGCCCACTGGAGCTCAGCAGGTGTGAGCCTGGTCAGTACCTGGGAGGGAGACTCCTGGGAAAGCTAAGGCTGCTGCTGGAAGAGGTGTCAGTGGGGCCAGTAGGGGGCGCTCACCCTGCGGTCCATGTTGGTCCTAGTGTCCCAGTCACTATACTGTTAAAAAGGTGCCGTCCTTCAGATGAGATGTAAAACCGAGGTCATGACTCTCTGGTCATTAAAAATGCCAGGGTATTTCTCAAAAAGAGTAGGGGTGTTACCCCAGTGTCCTGGCCAAATTTCCCCCTGGTCTTTACCAGTCATGGCCTCCTAATAACCCCCATCTCTGAACTGGCTTCATCACTCTGCTCTCCTCCCCACTGAGAGCTGGTGTGTGTGAGAGGACTGGAGCATCAGCCAGGTGGGGCTGCACACTGGTGGGAGTGGAGGGGATCCCCATTACCTGTAAAACACTTTTCTGGACACTCCACTCAAAGTGCTTATAAGTAAGGATGTTGTTATTATTATTATTTTATTACTTTCAACAGGGAACCCCGACCCAAAATCAGATTGAAATGTTATTTTGTAACGGCATTGGTGACGTTACTCCAAAGATCGCTGATGTGATTTTTTAATTGTATGTTAATTGCTTTTCTAATTGAATGCTGCTGATTGAAATTTGTTTTCAAAACGCCAACTTAAATAATATATTTCAGTTTTCTACTTGTCAAATTACCTCTGGCTCTTAAAGGGTCAGACAGGACTTGTAATGGGTATGAACTGCTGGATCAGTTTCGGAGTTTCAGACTTGCCCTCGGATCAGCAGCTGTGCCACACTCCTCCTAACCTCCTACACAGAACGCAGCACATCTGAATCCAAGGAGGTAGAGAGAAATTTAAAACACTTCTTTGTCCTCCCAGATCGCAGGTTCAGTTTTACAGAATCTTTCCTTCGATATCGTGCCTTTTGCATGTCCTATGTCCTTCGCTGCTCAAGGGATTGGTAAACCCTGCTGAAAGTCCCAGATCCATCACTGTCGATTCTTGTTGTGGATGTACGGCACTGTACGTGTGCTATAGATTCATCCTATGTAGCTGTGCCCACCACGCTGCTGCACCTCAACAGCCGTCATTGCTAATTTCAGTTTTATTTTTGTCATACCTGATCCTCAGCCAAAACGACAGTTAAACTGAACAGGGTTGAGATGCAAAGGGAATTTTATTGTCCAAGGAAACAACTGTTTCTTATCTGTATCTGCAGTGCTCTGCTATTTGTTCTACCTTATCATGCAGGAAAACACATCTAGTGGAGTTTGTGAAAATCACACAAATCACACCGTGAGGCTGCATTCTATGGGGTTTTAATTCCTTACAAATGCTCTTACAATTTCCAAAATTAAGATTAGATATATGATCTAGTGAGACTGAAATAACTTTACCAATCAAAAGAGCCAGGCAGGTGCAAGAAGGTTTTTAAGTGTGATGTCGTCTCTTTACAAGTGGTGCACAGGCACTACCAGGCTGATACTGTGAATGAAAGCCTAGCAAATATTTTCGAATCTGTCGCACAGTTCCCAGTGTTGCGGGGGTCAGGTGCAGGTAATGGATGCGCTGCCGTTTCTTTCCTGCGTGTCCCTCTCTGTAATCTCATTTCGACCAACCTCCTGGCTTGCTGGCCATCACTGGAACGAAATGACAAAATGAACAGTTGCACACAAGCAGCATTCGTTTCTATTTCAGTTCCGTTGTTGTCAATTTAAGCTTTCTTCCGAGCTGTGGAGTAGCCCATTCAGCTCATGGCTGTGACCCTCATATTGTTTTACACAGTGGAAGAATTGGCATCAAGCGTAGAAGCAGTGTGCCTCTCGGCTCTCACTGACAGCACCACAGGCTCAAACGCCTGGTCGCAGGCTGACTAGAGCTCGGCCTGACCTGGAGTCTGTTAGTCAAGTATAGAGATCAACCTCCATTCCAAATGAGCGCCTTAATCAATTTTAATCAGGCCCGCTAATGTGACGTTCAGTGAGTGCATGTGTATACACTATTCAGCACATTCCTGAGGGCTGTTATGACACCTCACCTCAAAGGCAGTATCATTTTCCTTCTTGAAGCTTCTTATCGATTGCCATGCTCTGTGACTCAATAGCCACTTGATACATATGCATCAGCAGGTTTTGTTTGCATTATTTTTCTAGCAAATGGAAAGATTCCACTGCTGAATTTTCACTACAACAGGCGTGAAAGTAGAAAAAGACACAAATCTCAGCTGTGGGCTGTGAAATATGCTTCACGTAGGTGAGAGAATGAGGACAGTATATAACAGTATATAGTTCAGGTGGGGAGCTGTGTCAGCATGCGTAGGCTGCAAAGATACAAGTAATAGGTTTATTCCCTGCTGAAAAGAGAAGAAAGGGTCACACACCTGAAGAAGGCTCTACAGCGGAAATGTTTTTTCCTTTCTTCTCTTTTCAGCAGGGAATAAACCTATTACTTGTTCCTACAACAGTATATAACTGCAAATA